CCCATTCATTCCAAACATGCACCTATTTGAAATACCCTAATTATTTTATTCAATTAAAAATTCCAACACATAGTCTAGATGGAAATGGACTAACCATTGGTAAAAGATTGTAGCACAATATTTAAGTGATTGGTCTTGATCAAGTAAATAGAGAACAACTTTTGTAGTTGTTGTTTTGACTTTTTGTGCTAGCACATACGGCATGTGTTGAACCGGACAAAGTGAAATATTTATTTCATCACTGTTTATAAATGCAACTGTATTATTTCTAGTTGACAGTTAATTACTTACTCTCTTAATCCCTAGATTATTAACGTGCACATTTAATTAATGATCTCTACTTTGATGTCACAATGGAGAGGTTCATATATTGAGTCAAATGGCCCCCAGTGCGTTGGGTGGAGACATTAAGAATTAATAGGTGGAAATTAATTATCGAAAGGAATCCACATCTCTGAAATATGAGATTGATAATAACCCTTGAGTAGCTTATAAGATTTGTTTATGCCAAGTCCTGGCCAGGTAGATTTCGTATCCGACATACTCAAATAAGTTAAGCGGGTAATTAAGACTCATGAAAAGAAACCATTTAATTTATTTAGCAGTGAATAAATTATTTGGTGGTTATAAGACATCTTAATGTGGGGAGAATCTAAACCGGAGCTCGAATGTAATATTTGAGAATATAAACGGGAGTTCAATATTTATTTGGTATGGAAAATAAATAATTATTTAATGACTAATTAAATGAATTCTTTTAAGAGTTTGGATTTAATTAATTATTAGTTGTCTGATTTATATTTTCTCCTTGAGTCCATAGTGTAGCCTAATGGATTTTCTAATTAATCGAGAAAATAAAGTTCAACCAATATATATTGGAATTAATATAGCCGAAATTAAGTCCCTATTGGACTGCAATTTTAGACTATATAGAGTTATAGAAGGAGTGGGATTTGTTTCCATGTAACCCTCTCTATGTGTGACTCTAATTCCTTGTGCAAAATTTCTGAGCAATCCTGCAAAGAAATTCGTCATAAATCAACATTTCATCGGATATGCTTGAAATTTATACAATAGCTTCCTAACCAATAGTACTATAATCTGTTAGAAGGGTTTCTCCATCAGATCAACCATCACGGAGATATTGGTGAAGGAAGAAGACTGTAAATTTCTGGGCAGCAGTTTTTCGAGAATTGAAGGCTTGGTGTGGATCCTCGTTCGTGCGCTGAAGATAGAAACGAATCTGCCCGTGAAAATTGTAAGTTGCTAGATTAGATTTATTCCGCTTTAAACGAATTTAATCAAAGCATGTAATAAAATTAAAACCGGTTAATCTATAACCTCTTACGAATTTTCAATGACTCATGGGCTTCACATCCCAGCAGGTACCAGCTAATCTAGAATCTCTTGCGAATTTTCAATGACTCATGGGCTTCACATCCCAACAGGTAGTGCCCAAGCGAGGAATCAAGAAATGCGAGGGAGGAATTGCAAAACGTGACGTGGAATCGTACCACATCAGGGGGAATTCAGAAAATCAGAGACCCAAATAAGTCCAATTTTCAAGTGAAATAAATGCAAATATATCTCGAATAATCTTCTAACTATTGAGATTTTTGTACCAAAAAAGTGTAAGAAAAACTATTCTTGTGCAAGATAGAAACAAACAGAGAAAAAATGGTGAAAAAAATGGAGGAGATGGCGTCTAGAGAGAGAGAGAGAGAATAAATCTTAATTAATTTATTTTAGAGATTTTGTTAACTATAATTTAGTAGCGGATAATTGGCACTTTGCACCCTTGAATTACTTGGGTTCGGCACTTTGCACGTTTAAATTAGGAAAATAGCACTTTGCACCATTGATTGCTAACTCCTTGGCACTTTGCATCCTCCTTCACATTTTGGCAAAAAACGTGATGGGTAATTTGTTCCAGTAAGGTTATATTTATCTTTCTCTTATTTCTCAGCTAATAAAAATCGATTCACCTCTTTTCTTTGTTCATATCGTTTCTCTGCAATTTGTTCCCTTTTTCTCAGCTAAAAACCTAGAACTTCTTCAATTCTTCTTCATGGCTTGAATCAAATTCATCATCCAAAAGTTTGAAGAAGACAAAATGAAAGAAAGTGGAAAAGATGGAGGAAAAATTTGCTAAATGCAAGAAAAATGTGAAACAATTAGAGTTGCAGATACAAACATATAAAGAGAAGACCGATATGCATAGTTTTGAATTCAAATTGCTGGTAGAAATTTCAATTTTAGGATTCATATTTGGTTAGCTGAAATACTTTTGTCCTTTTCAAAATTTTGAAAATCTGCAAATTTTGTGAACGATAATGTGAAGTTTCATCCTAGTGTTATTTAGTTTTTTTGAATCGTAAGATTGTGTTGCAAATATGTATTTTTTATGAATTGTAAGCTATGGTTCGAAGTTTTTTATTTAATGAATTCTAATTTCTTATTTAGATTAAAAGTGTGTTGCAAATTTAATGAATTCTAAGTTTCATCCTATTGTTTTAGCTTTTTTATTATTATGAGAACAATGCAACAGTGAATACTTGTGTAATAATTTGATGGTTTAAGCATACTCACCTTCAAAGTTGACACTTATAAGTTTGAGCAAAGCATATGAATAAGAATAGAAGCAGAACAAAGCAATAAACAGGACAATTATTTATTCTAATTTTCTTGTCATTTTCAATTGAATAATTAAGAAAGTTACAAAAAACTTGTAGTAAAATGTGATTCTTGCTAGAAAGTATATATTGGGACTAGATAATACTTTTTGTTTAGTTTTGAAGGACTCAACAAAATCTTTCAATCAAGAATAGTAAAATTGATTTCTAATATTTGCTATTATAATAGAATAGCTTTATGTCTGAAAGAAACAGAGGGTTAGTAACATGCCCAACTTGTCCAGCCATTAGGACAACGTAAAGTTTGTTTTGGTAGGGGTTGAATAGAGATTGTAAGTCTTCTTTTTTGTTCCTGTTTCATTGATCGATTTTGTTTCTACGAGTGTTTCGTCGATTGATTTACCCTGATACAGATAAAAGGACGAAGTTGCCCCTAAGTGGAACCCATTTAACCGGTTGCCAAACACGTTTTTTGCCAAAATGTGAAGGAGGGTGCAAAGTGCCAAGGAGTTTGTAATTTAATGGTGCAAAGTGCTACTTTTCCAATTTAAGGGTACAAAGTGCCAAACTCATGTAATTTAAGGGTGCAAAGTGCCAATTACCCATTTAGTAGATAAAAAATTAAGATGATAATCAAAATTAAAATTGAAATTTTAATTAAAATCAAATTGAGTGCCACATGTCAAGAGGAGAGGCACCCGATTATTATCTCCGGGTGTAGCATAGCCCCTCCCTCATATTGTAATGTGTTATGTTAATGAAATATACAATACAATATTATCAATTCGTTTAAAACAAAGAAAGAAAGTTCTTTTTATCTCGGAACTCTATGTAGGGTGGGGGCAACAATTAGGGGTGGAAATAGGAACGAAATTTCCGATTTCCGCCGAATCTGGTCCGAATTTTTTCGATTTTGGAACGATTTTTTGTAATCCGATTTCCGATTTTTTTCTAAAAAAATCGGATCGGAATCGAAATTGTATATGAATTATTCGGAATTTCCGAATTTCGATCCGAAAATAATTCCGAAATTTCCGATAATATTTCCGAAATTTTCCGAAATTTATTAATATTTCCTCATTGCTATATATTGTTTCTAGTGAGGCTTTAAAAAGCCCACTTTAGCAACGCATCACACATAGGGATGGCAAAAAAACCCGAACCGCTAGCTATCCGCGGGTATCTGCTCCGTTTAAAACCTGTTACCGAAACCATTAGGGTTTGGTAATGGTTTTGGTAAAGAAAAGAAAACCGTCATAGTTTTGGTATGGTTCTGGTTTTACCTTTACGGTCATGGGTACCCGACCATTTAATATATATATATATATATATATATATATATATATATATATATATATATATATATATATATAGAGAGAGAGAGAGAGAGAGAGAGAGAGAGATGAAGGTTGCGTTAAATTTTTATTATGTTAGAATGAGTCGTTAAGAGAGATAAATTTTCGAAGTTCAGATAGAAAATCTGTCGATTTTCTTAAATTAAGCGAGTCTCTATAAATATTTTCTTTTGATAACGTATCTGATAATTGTTTAAATGCAGATATTGGATATATGTGTATGAACTTACGTGAGTTATTGTTGGTTAATTGTTATTCGTTCTTTGTTATTTTATAATTTGTGGTGTGTGATTTGATCTATATACGTGTAATGTATATATATATATATATATATATATATATATATATATATATATATATATATATATATATATATATATGTGTGTGTCTGTTTTCAGGCTGGTGTAATGTTATGGAGAGCTGGATGATCACATTCACATGCCTTGCCTCTTTTCAAGACATTACTTACTCTATGTATTCGATATGGTTGTGTATTATTATTATTATTATCTAATTACTTATACGTGATTTTAAACTATATATTCTGAATTATTATAAAAACGTACTATTACATGTAATAATATCTAACTCATTACTTAACTACAATTCTGATAATAATATTAATATTTTTTAGAAGAATTCTAAATTGATTTTAGCATTTTTTTTAGTGTCTCGGCCGTGAAATCCGCACGACATTGTAATTCAACTGGAACTGTGGTATTCTCGACATCCACCACGACCGCTCTGACAAACCTCTATGTTTTTTTTTTGTGTGTGTGTGCAGCTGACTACTCTATACTTTGCAGTTATTACTACAATTCATAATTTAATCAGTAGCAGGAAAGCTTTGTCTCTATATCTAAAATATTTCAGAGTCGTGGTTTGGAATCCCATCTAAAGCTTAGCTCATAGGGTCCCACCAAAAAAAATAAAAATTTGAAAACAAAAAAAGAAAATGCTACTATACAAGGCCATCATATCAGCAGGCATTCAACAAAATCACCAACTTCAGACAACACCTGATCAATTACATTGCATATATACATACAAGTTTAGCTATTTAAATAATTTGTTGTGTGAGATATATAGATAGATAGATGAGCAGGCAAGGAGATTGGCTATGTGGTGCATGCCAGCACCTAAATTTCCAAAAACGAGAGACGTGCCAAAGATGTTGCTGCCCCAAGTATGCTACGGCAACGGACATGTCCTCTTACGCAAACACGTTTATATTAATGCAAAAAACAGAAATAATTTTACAGGCAGGAGACTGGTACTGCAGTTGTGGTGCGCATAACTATGCCAGCCGAACAAATTGCTATACATGTTTTGCCTTTAAGGATTACTCCGGATATGGTGCTGCCTACACCTATGACGCTATTCCTGGTTGGAAAACTGGTGACTGGATTTGCTCCAGGTGTTTATGTCTTCTCTTGCATATCGAATAATTCATAATTATCCTCATTTAAAAAAAAAATCGTAATTATTAATTAATGCCATCCGATTCTCGATATATGGACATACAGATTAGGATGCGGCATGCACAATTATGCAAGCAGGATGGAGTGTTTCAAATGCCAGACACCGAAAGATTTTGGTAAGTTATGTATATCTTGATATGCGTATACATACATATATCTAATATAATCCTCTGTTTGTGGCAATCATAATGATGTACTTCTCAAGGTATTTATTTCTCTTGTATTTTATTTTCCAGGAGGAGCAATCTAAAGTTATGTATGTTGAACCCCAACAAGCTAAGAGAGCTGCAACGTAACTCTTCTCTTTTGTTTAATCAATTATATCTAGTTATTGTGTACTTAGTTTTAGTTTTCTTGACTTAGTCTTACCCAAGAAGGATTTCATGTTGCTTCAATGTACGGTCCAAAACGTTCCTTGCAAGAATGAATAGCTTTCGACAACTTTTTGTCTATATAATCAATTCTCATATATCCTTTTTTATTTTATTTTATTTTTTATTTTTTTGGTTTTTCCGGTTTCTAAAACTATTTAATTGGTTAATCGATATTGTGTTTTCCTGCGACATTTTTTTTCCTTCGGGTTCTAAATGTCTGATAACATAACAACTAACAATCAAAGTTGTCAGGAACTGAATTAAGATTCATATATAGAATCTAGAAAGGAACTCTCTTTTGATTAGTATTTTATTGTTGGGTAAATTACACACACCCCCCTGAGGTATGCTTAAATAACTGTAAGGTCCCCGTGGTATCGATAATTACACTCAGCCCCCTGAAACGTAGTCAGAAACTCTAATGGGATAATAAATTGGATACGTTATTCCGATAGGGTTCTAACGGACTATTGGTTTCAGAAAGTGGTGGAGACAACAAAGAGCTATGGGTGATTTAAGAAATGTTCGGGAATGTTCGGGGAGCCATGTCACCCCAATGC